TAACATAGTTAGTGCTGGAGAATTATCCACTGACAAATGACTAATCGGTCTGATTCCTAAAAGGACCTCTGTATCCTATTCATTCTAGTTCTAGTGTGTGACATAGTGCCATGATTCAGTTAAGCACTAGTAGCAATCGCAGTGTGTTTTTTCTCCTTCAAAGTCTCTGAATGTGTTCAGCATTAGGAAAAATCTTTCAGAAAAGGGTCAGCGAATCCAAAGGATGAGCGTTACTTGTTGTAATAGCATAATAGACACTGTTTCTTCCATTGTAATATTGTCTAACTCATTGGTTAAATTTCATTATTATTCTTATTCAATTTGATATACAATAGTTTCTTTTTGAATCTTACAAAGAAATAAAAAAGAAAAGAAAATCCAATATGAAATATATCTTCTTGCTTTAGAGATCAATTTTAATTTTATCATTTCTTATTTATTTCAGGATATTTTCAAAAATTAAATTCAAACCTTTTTAATATAAAATATATTTTTACTGAAATTTCTCGTCTACAATTAGACACTCTTTTTTCTCATTCTCTTTTATTTAATTAATCTTTTTTTACATCATCTATGAAATAATATTCAAATAATCAACATCTGCAAGTTCTTTCATATTTATTCAATAAATGATGACAAGATAGAATAGATAACATCTATTATTTCTGTATTGTTTTTTAACCATCAATCTTCTTGTTTCTCCATATCTGCAAATAAAAGAACAGATGGTTCCGATAATTTCCATGTTTGACCATTATATGTCACTAATTGCCACTGAATTGCTGTTGTTACAAATCCATAGACCATCTTTTGATCATTATTTACTTCAGACATGGATTTTAATGCTAATAACAGTTGAGTAAGTTCTTTTCCAAGTGAATCACTTTTTGCTTCAACAACAATAACATAACGAGTGTTTTTGTTATCAATCGATTGAGTTATCATAAATTCCATATTTTCATCATATTTATCATTTTTGCTGATGATTTGCTTTTCTCGTCTTAATTTTAAAAGATGATGTTCCATCTTACTATCGATATGAGCAATCATCGTTGCCAAAACCTGTCCAACATAATCTGTGATAACAGACTCATTCAGTGGAGCAATTGTTGCTTCTGGAAAATCTTCTGATATAAGTCGCTCAACTAATCGATCAAATAATTTTTTCTTCAATTCTTCTGGTGCAGATTTAGTGATAAATCGATTGATTGAAGTTTGAGAATTGTAAAATTCAGTGAATCGAAAATCAAGTATAATTTCTGCTTCTTCTTGAGAAACATTTGAAAATAAAGTCGTATATTTCTTTTTTCGTTTCAAAACTGATTCTGTTGAATCACTCATTCTCATGTAAATATAAACAGTTTCAAAGATAAATGTGTGATTTGAAAAATATTGCTTTACTTAAAACGATTATCTCAGTTAATTATAAAAGAAATAATAATCGTTGTTCATCCGTATATTTATTGTGATAATAGAAATGAATGAATCTAGAAACGATACTGTAGATGTCACACTCGACAAAACTAACCGTTATCAATTCATCCTATAGCGAATCATCCCAAAGTTTTGAATATTAGAAAAAAGTTCCAATTACATTTGCCATGTTATTAATGTGGAGTTGTAAAACATCATAAAACAAAGAATTTAATACAAAATAAATTTCCGTCCATAAGAAATGTTCATCCAATGTCAAATTTAATTCTGTATCAATCCTTTAAAGATCGAATTCTTTTTTTCTGGAAGTCATACTACATTAGTCATAACAAAATTAAATTATTCAGTTAGGTCTCAGTACATCTATTTCGTAAAGAGCACAGTTCAACAGCATAGATTTGTTGCATTGTACATGACTTATTTACACATACAGACGGATATTGAACATTGAATCCATTTACATTTACTTATTTCTGAAGAAACTAGTATAGACGCACATGTGCGTTTCCCGTTTTCAAAGGGTTAATATTTGTTGTTTAAAAGATAAAATATCTTGTTGAAAATGATTAAATTGTTGATCTTGTGATAAATATTTTCTTGTTCTTTAATTTGTCATTCATAATTTAAATTTGTTAATTGTTCAATAGTTTGATTTAATATTTGGATTTCTTCATTCCGATTATCATTAATCATTTGTTGTTGTTTTAATTCATCCAATTGAACAATTTCAAACTTTGATTTTTTATTTTGAAAATTCGAAAAACTCAAAGAAAAAGATAATTTTATTGAAGAAATGAAAATCATTTTGAACAAAATAAAGAAAGAGAAAAAATCTTTTCGTGAAGAACAAATAAAGAAGCTTGTTGAAAACGTCTTCAAGTATTTTCTTCATCTTTTTTTAGGATTTTTCTTCTAATGAAAATGAACTTCGTGAACAATAAAATAAAAGTGACGAACTATTATTAAAAGAATCAAAACAAAGGTTTATAGAAGATTTTCATTGAAATTCTTTATCATCTTTTCCTTGTTTTTTTAAGAAAGTAATCAGACAATGTTAACGAATCGTGGTTATGCTCGAAATCACCTTGGATCATATTTTGTTGTCTAAGAATTATTCCTTCCATTTTTCATATTTTCGAATCATTGATAAAAAAGACTTTTATTGAACTTTTTTTTCCTATTTAACCACAAAACAATTTATTTCGAGAAATTATTTTCATCTTCTTTAATAAATCATTGTGATTACTTTGAAATTTCTCTGAGATTGAATTTTCAAACTAAAGATAAAAGAGATCAATCTACTATTACCGAAAGAGAAAAGATATATAAAAAATTATATTAGTTTGCTTTTAATAAGAGAAAAATATTTGTCTTCGAATTAGTTTTTTTTATCAAATATAATTAACATAAAAAACAAAAGAAATGAAACATGTTTTTGTTTGACTTGTGTCGACATCTTTCAACTTTATCTATCGAAGAAACGAAGGAAAATCCTCGATTAAATCTGATTGAATAACAACTTATCGTTTTAAATCGTAATTCATACGTGAGTGAATAATCTATATCGATATCAATATAAACAATAATTAGTTCACTACAAGCATTAATCGATAAACTATAAATGTTTTCTTATTTCTGAACTTCAGATTTGTTGTCTCTTTTACACTTAAATAAATACATTTTCTCATGGCAGAAAGAACTACTGCAACAAATTCCATCGATGAATATTCTGAAATCGTAAATATTCTTGTAAACTCAAATTTTTTAATTTAATTGAATATTTTTATCTCATAAAACAGATTGTATGACTTCTTGTGGATATAAGGGAACAAGAAGATATTATTAAAGGTATTCAACAGCAAAAAGAAGAACATAAGGACGAAATTGATCTCGAATTACATCGATTGGAGCTGGAATGGCGTGGTTTTGAAGTTCAATCCATGCGAGCAAGAGTGAAGTACTATAGATATCTCCGACAACAAGTGGACGGACTGTGTGAGC